TTGCGGCGTGGTGGTGGGGGGTGGGGGTGGTGGTGGTGGTGTCCGTGCGTTTGAGGCTGGTGATGGTTGGGCGGTGGTGGTGTGGTGGTGGTGGAGGCATGGCGGTGCCTGCCTGACTGCCTGCTGCTGTGGTGTGGTGTGGTGGGGTGGGGTGGGGGTGGTGGTGGGGGTGGGCTGGTCGGTCGGTGGTGGTGGTTGAGGTGGTGATGGTGCGGGTGGTGGTGGTGTGGTGGCTGGAGGCCGATGGCGGTGCTGCTGCTGCTGCTGCTTGTGTGGTGGTGGTGGTGGTGGGTGGGCGCTGGATGCGTCGGCTGGTGGTGGGGAGTGGTGGTGTGGTGTGGTGGTGGTAGGGGGTGGTCGTGAGGGAGGTGGTGGTAGTTGAGGTGGTGATGGTGGGCGGTGGTCGGTGGTGGAGTTCGTGATGGTTGGGGTGGTGTGGGAGGTGGGGTCGGTGGTTGGTGGTGGTGGTTGACGGTGTGATGGTGGGGGTGGTGAGTGGTGGAGTGGTGATGGTTGGTGGGGTGTGGGGTGGGGTGGTGGTGGTGTGCGTGGGTGTGGTGTGGTAGTGGTGATGGTGGTGATGGTGGGGGTGGTGCGTGGTGAGAGGTGGTGGTGGTGGTTGTGGGTTGAGGTGTGATGGTGCGGGGTGGTCGCTGGTGGAGCGGTGATGCGTTGGGTGGTGGGGGACGAGGTGGGTGGTGGGTTGGTGTGGTGGTTGAGGTCGGCGTCGATGTGGGGGTGGGTGGTGGTGCGAGGGGTGATGGATTGATGTGGTGGTGGGCGTTGGTGGTGCGTGGAGGTGTTGGATGGTGGTGATGGTGGGGGTGGTTGGGGTGGGGTGTGGTTGGGGTCGGTGGTTGGCGTGGTGATTGGGGGGCCGGTGGCTGGTGGAGGTTGGTGATGGTTGGGCGGTCGGTGGTGGGGGTGGGTCGGTAGGTGGCTGGTGGTTGGTTGAGGTGTGATGGTTGGGGGTGCGTGTGGTGGACGGTGGTGATGGTTGGCGGTGGTGGTGGGGTGGTGGCTTGGTTGCGCAGGTGCGTGATGGTTGGAGGTGGTGGTGGGGGTG